CAATTTTTGATACCAAGTGCCCAAGGAGGTTAAATCACATTAGCGATAAATCTCAAAATCTCACACTCGATATGTTCCGAGTTTTCTTGACTCACAAAGTCCATCCAATCAGCGGAAAATTCATCAGCCAAGACAGTTCGATTAAGTAGTTTGATTGAATGAGAAGCAATGATTGTGTAAAGGGTTCCCAGTTGATGATGCATTTTAAGCAAAAGTTTAATTTCTGTGTTTTTTCAGAGTCAGAGTCACTAATGAAAGTATGAATATCAATAGCTTTGTGCTTTCCATGATTAAGGTGATGTTCAAGAGCTCAATGTAGATGAATTGTTATTAGATGCAGACGTATCTGAATGATCAACTTCTCAAGTTTATCCATGTAAACATGTAAATGATCAGAACATCGGCTGGAAGACAATGACAAGAAATATCTTTATTTATTTCGAAAATTTTCTCATCCATTTTTTTCGAAAAACTTATGAAATGAAATGATCCATAACTTTTATTGCTGCCGTTGGTCCATCGCAAATGTTGCAAATCCATGATCAAAGTTAATTTCAAAATGTGTTAACCATTTCATTGAAAAGTTTTTCCTTCTTTTGACTTTGCCTCGTCGAGTTGAAAATTGCCCTCAACCTGGTTTACACTATCTGATTGAGATAATTTGAAGACACCACAGAATTGACAGAATTAATGGGAAAACTGAAATACATCATGAAATGTGTACATTATGAAGCGTTAAACAAGAGAGAGTCAAGAGAGAAAAAAAGTAAAATCGTTTAACCCTTTTTTCTCTTCATCACAGTAATCATTGCTATTATTACTATCATGACGATAAACATTCGAGACACATAAATATTATATATTATCACATTATTTTCACTCAAATTGTTTCCTTCCCAATCCAATATAATACAATCAGCAAATCATTTCTTTTCGTGGCTTTCATTTCAAATCTCTATTATTGTAAATAAAAGGCAAAGCAAGAAAAAAATGGATAAAAAAGAAAGAAGATTGAAAAGAAAATCTCATTTTCATGATGAAATTTCATTTAATACTTTTACATCAACAACTTGTTTAAGGTGAATACTTTTACTTACCTTTTCCCTCTAATCTCATTGATTCATCATGTTTATGGTATTTGGATGATTTTTCATCCCATTTTCACCTTTACAATCATCATGGGCCATCATCAACATCATTATCACCACCATTATAACTGTAATTGTAATCATCATTTGAAAGGATTTACAATGGAAATCTTTTCTTTTGCTTTCATCTTAACGATGAGAAAAGTAAATGGACTTCAATTGAACCAATTTGTCGACCATATTTTGTGTGTTCACCTTTCAAATGGAACCTTTGATTATTTAATTTACTGTCCATTTTGATGATCCTTTTTGCCATTCATTCAATCTCGACTGATAAACTGATCAACAACTGATACACTTTAATGGAAACTCAATTTTACCATTCAACCCAAAATTGAACTCAAATTTGTTTACCAACATTAACTTTCCCAACAATGAATCCAAAGTTGAGATAAAAATTATTCCAGAAAATGCGTTATTCAATATTTACTGTTGAAAGATAAAAATAACAATTGCAAGCTTATTTTCCTTCTCTCTTCACTCTTGCAATTGATAAAAACATGAAAAGAGCAAATAAATGATGGTCAAAGGAATTGATTCAGTTGTTCTGAAAGTTCTTCAAGATATTAGACGAAAATTTGTATACAATTTTTTCCCTTGTTTTCCTTGTTTACACTAAACTTCACTAAATAATTGCATATTTTACTTGCATTTACTTGGTTCAATTTCAAATTGATTGTTGACTGAATAAATAGAAACCAAGAATAACATTCATTTTTCATTTGCTGCTTCATGGTTTCGATACATAATGGTTTAACAAGAAAAGAAGAAAAAGTTTTTCTGTTTCAGCGAATCTGGTTAGACAGTCTTTTCGAGGATCAAGAGGTTCTCTTGACGTACAAGAATGTGAACATTGAATTGCATTAATGATTGTGTTTTGTTGAAATCAAGAGTTGCGAGAAAATTTACGATAAATTTTGATTTACTGATTTATTTTCATTGACATTTTTCATGGATTCTGATGATTCATTTTCATTGATTTTAGTTGTCGTTTTTAATCGTTTGCTTGTATTTATTGCAATTCAGTCTTTTTTGGCTGCTTCTTGACTCAATCAATAATTTGAACTTGAAATTGAGACTTTTGTCTTGTTAAAGAGTTGTCTTCACTTTGCAAGTCTAGTTGGTAAGGATGAAATTAAATTGTCTGATAATTGATTAAACGTCGAGATGAAACTTGAGATGTTTCATGATATTGGAAAAGCATTAATTGAGTTTACTCTATTGATTTTACCATTTAACTTACTGTTTATCGATCAAAAAATTCAATGTATAACATTCACTCTATTCATTGAAAAAAGTGTCGATGTTTTTACTTTGACCTTTTCTCTTTTCACTTTATTCACGAAATATAGAAATACATTGAAATACATTGTGCGACATGCGATAAGCTTTGACGGTGCTGGGTCTTTATGGGTAGGAGGTTGACTACATTAATAACATTTTATAAGTTCAATCGAAGGGACTCGAAATAGATTAAATACTTCCTTCAACCAATGATGGTAATGACAGTACAAATGTTAGGGTTGTAGAGGCAAGCGATGTTGCGAAAGTCGGTGTTATTAGAGAAATTTTGAGAAATGAAAAGCCGACATTCGATTGTTCAATGCGATCAAGAAACAGATGAACCTAAAATGAGAAAATATTAATACAAACAATAGAAGATAGAAATAGCTTTTATTCAATAAAGGACTTACATCATTGTTGACTTGGAATGAATGCTTTCCATATGATAGTGAATAAACTTCATCGAAACTTTTGTAGGAAAGATGATGAATATATATCATGTTCCAGATGACGAATAACAAGTAATTGAATCGCCATACAAAGTGAATTAATTTATCTATACTGAACTCATTCCAAAATTGGACAAAGAAAATGAAATTTGCCATTGTTAAGAAGGCGAAGAAAATCGCTATTGGGAATCTTAGAAACGAATCCATTTTCTCGGTTATTACAGCAGCAATGCTATACATTGAACGCACTTCTCGAATTTTCTCGATGGTCAAAGCACGACTGTCGATATTTTTAAGGGAACGAATGTGCTCTTCAACAGTGAGCCAGCATGCATGAATGTGGAGACAAGATTCAACAAGAAATTGAAAGTACAACGGATGGACTACAAGAGAAACGGCTTTTATCAGACCAAAAGTTAAGATTTTCCAGAAATGAACATAATCGTTCGGATCGTGGATGATGGTAATAAAGCTATCGAAAACAGCCATCAAGATACACTGCACAATATACATGATAAATAGACACGAATAAAGACGTCGAATTTTAGTGAAGTGGCGATAAACTCTCGCATTGCCCAGATTGCATCGCGTTTGATTTTCAAATAAGTCAATCAAATCGATATATTGCCACCGCTTTGACCGTAATGTTACAATCCAAAGTATCTTTGAAATCAAGTTTGCATGGCGAAAGATTAGATGAAACTTTTCGAACACATTGCTTGTTTCGGCTGTCGAAGTATCACAGTACATCAAGTAAATAGATGCAGAGATGAGTAGCAAATGCATAAAGGTGAGCTTCTTGCCTTCAAGCCGCATCATCCATGTAAATACACCGATGGGTTTAGAACTTGAAAAATGCCCATCCATGGTAGTAATTTGGAACGAATATTATCTCCTAGATTATATAACTATAATTGTGTTACTATGATTAGATAGATTAGTAAACGAATATTGATGAAATGAATTTTACTTAACACGTAAGCTAAAGTTGGACATTAACTATTAATAATTGAAGTGCGCATCTATTACAGATAGTATGTATAATTACAGATCAATGAAATAAATTTAGTTTTTCTAAATTTGCAATCAATCATCAATTTAAGAAATGAAAATTTCATAACACTAATCAATTGATTGAACAAGCTTTATATTTGGATTCACGCTGTTTCATTCGCATTCAATTTTCATTTTCATTTAAAAATGCTCTTTGATTCAGTTTGGTCAAACTGAAAAGCTGAAGCTGGGGAAGTAAATTGACCTTATTTTCCTGACAATGAAATGTTATTATTTTCAGTGTTACAAAAAGTTTCGAAAGTTTCCAGAAAAAGTATGACAATAGAAGCAACAGCATGATCCAATGACGGATGAGGCAACTGTGTTTAAATAATAATAGAGGAGGCGACGAACATGGCTGAACTTTTCTTTTCACTGAATATGTTAAATGCAAGCCACATTTAAAGACTCAAATTTCCGATTAAAAAAAATTATCGTCAATAGGAAAAACAAAAAACAATATAAAATCTCGGTCTACAACTTCACAAAATGCAATAGAAGTTTAAACTCAGATAGCGATTTTATCAAAAGACTTCGAGTAATTTTTTATGGTTCCGGTTTTTATACCCCTAAAAGCTCTTCCGGTCATGTAGTCAAATCATGGCTTACAGGCTGTTTGAAAATGTTCCTTAGAATTTTTTGGTTTGGCCACAATTTTTACACAAAAATTTGATGACTTTTTATATTGTACTTAAGTGAACACGAAAGTTCCTGCCGTCTTTAAGTGGATTTTCAAACAATTAGTACAACTTAGTAAAATTTCTTCAAATTATTCGATTTTTTCTAAAATATTAAATCAAATTTCATGACCAAAACATTGAATAACATGCGCAAATTTTGATTGAATGTAATTATCATTTATTGAAATTTTTGATCCTCTTAAAAATGATGGACAATCAAAATTACGAAAAATTAACATTGATCGATAGCTTTTATTCCATATAATCTTTAATGAAAATTTACAAATTTTAATCATTGCTACTAGATAATTTTTTAGTTTTAATTGCTGATAAATTATGCTTTTCTGACTATTTTCGGGTAGGATTTTTATTTGAATCTCAAAAAAATGAAATATCCTTTCAATATAATGATTTGCTGAAATAGTGCATATAATGTCGCAGGACTCTTATTCAAGACATCACAATAGAGAGCAGCTTTTGTTTGACGGATCAAGATCAACTTAGAACAGAAAAAATTGTAAATTTGAGTTGCAAGAGATTTTTATTTGTTTTTTGAAATTGTGTGCATCATTGTTGTTCTAATGTGCAACATACGATTACAGAGATAAATTTTGATGGTGCCGGGTCATTGAATAGGTTTGTAAATTGACAACATTAATAACTTTTTTTATCTTCAATCGAAGTGACTCGATAAGGAGATTAAATACTTTCTTCAATCAATGATGGTAATGACAATACAAATGTTAGGGTTGCTGAGGCAAGTGATGTTACAAAAGTCGGTGTAATCAAAGAAATTTTGAGAAATGAAAAGCCGACATTCGATTGTCCAATGCGATCAAGAAAAAGATGAATCTGTAATGAAAAAATAGAAACGAAAGAAAGGTAGAAATTGCTTGATTCGATAAAAGACTTACCTCGTTGTTTACTTGTAATGGATGCTTTCCATATGAAAGGGCATAAACACCATCAAAACTTTTGTGTGAAAGATAATGAATATATATCATATTCGAGATGACCAATGCCAAGACAGTACATCGCCATACAAAGCGAATCAATTTATTTAGACTGAGCTCAGTCCAAAATTGGACAAAGAAAATGAAATTTGCCATGATGTAGAAGCCGAAAAAAATCGCTATTGGAAATCTTAAGAATGAATCCATTTTCTCGGTAATGACAGCAGCAATGCTATACATTGAACGCACTTCTCGAATTTTGTCGATGGTCAAAGCACGCCTGTCAATGTTTTTAAGCAAACATATTTGCTTATCAACAGTTAGCCAACATGCATGAATGTGTAGACAACACTCAATAATCAATTGAGTGTACAACGGGTAAATGCAAATAAAGACTGCTCTTAACAAACCAAAAGTTAAGCTTTTCCCGAAATGAAAGTAATCGTTCGTACCGTAAAGAATCATGATGGGTCTATAAAAAACAGAAATGAAGATAGTCTGCACAACAAACATGATGCATAAAGGCACAAAAATACGACGAACTTTAGTTGAGTGACGATAAACTCTCTCATTGCCCAGAATGCATCGCGTTTGGTTTTCAAATAAGTCAACCAACTCTGTATATTGCCACCGCTTTGACCGTAATGTTACAATCCAAAGTATCTTTGAAATCAAGTTTCCATAGCGAAAAATTAGATGAATTTTTTGCAACTTACTGCTTGTATTGGCTTCCATAATATCAGTGTAAATCAAGTAAATAGCTGCAGAGATTAGTAGCAAATGTATTAAGCGAAGCTTTTTATCTTCAAGTTGCATCATCCATGCAAAAACACCGATGGGTCTAGAACTTGTAGAATGGCCATTTAGATCAGTAATGCAAATTCGAGGCATATTGTGAAGCAAATATTAAATAATTGTAAGAATATGTAAATTAGTGAACGAATATTGATGAAATGAATCGTAATTAAAACGCATTAGTCGAACTAGATATTGGCTAGTTTAAGTGCGCATTCACTTTTAATTACAGATCAATGAAAAAAATCGAGCAATTCTGAACTTTCAATCAATCATTTTAAGAAATGAAAACTTTGAACACTAATCAATTGATAACAAAAACTTTATATTTGGATTCACGCTGTTTCTGTCGCATTCAATTTTAATTTTAAAAATACTCTTTAAGGCAGCTTTTGTAAACCAAAGACTGAAAAGTTCAAGCTAGGGAAGTAAACTGACCTTACTTTCCTTACAATCTAATGTTATAATTCAACTTTCAGAGTTACAAAAAGTTTTGAAAGTTTCCAGACAAAGTATAACAATAGAAGCAACAGCATGATCTAATGACGAATGAAGCAAGTGTTCTTAGATATTAACAGAGAATGGAACGAACATGACTGAACTTTTCTTTTCACTGACAATTGTGACTATGTTAAATGCAAGCCACATTTAAAGATTCAAATTCCCGATGAAAAAAATTATCGTCAATAGGAAAAACAAAAAGTAATATAAAATCTCGGTCCTCAAACTAACGAAATGGTGTAAAAGTTCGAACTTAGAAAGTTATTTTGTCAAAAACCTTCGACGAGAGTAATTTTTTATGGTTGCAGTTTTTATACACCTAGAAGCTCTTCAGGTTATGTATTTAAATCATAGCTATTAGGCTGTTTGAAAATTTTCATTAGAATCCTTTTAGTTTGGTTTCAATTTTGCGATAAAAATTTGTTGTTTTAACTTTTACATTGTACTGGATGTATGGATTAGGCAAACACGAAAGAAGAAACGCAAAAATTTGTAAAAATCGAAATCAAAAGAGAATTTTTCGTTTTTTGGAATTATATTTATCATTGTTGTTTGAATGTACTGTGCAATATATGATTACAGGGATAAATTTTGATGGTGCTGGGTCGTTGTGATAGGTTTCTATTAATAAATTGACTACATTAATAACTTTTTTCACCTTCAATCGAAGTGACTCGATAAGAAGATTAAATACTTTCTTCAATCAATGATGGTAATGACAATACAAATGTTAGGGTTGCAGAAGCAAGTGATGTTACAAAAGTCGGTGTAATCAAAGAAATTTTGAGAAATGAAAAGCCGACATTCGATTGTCCAATACGATCGAGAAATAGATGAATCTGAAGTAAGAAAATAGAGAAAAAAGAAAGTGAGAAATAGTTTTTGGCCAATACAAGACTTACCTCATTATTGACGTGGAATGGATTCTTTCCATATGAAAGTGAATAAACTTCATCGAAACTTTTGTAGGAAAGATGATGAATGTATATCATGTTCCAGGTGACGAACAACAAGATAGAGATTCGCAGTACAAAGCGTATAAATCCAATTAAACTGAACTCATTCCAAACTTGGACAAAGAAAATAAAACTTGAAATTATGTAGAAGGCGAAGAAACTCGCTATTGGATATTTATGAAACGAATCCATTTTCTCGGTTATTACAGCAGCAATGCTATACATTGAACGCACTTCTCGAATCTCCTCGATGGTCAAAGCACGACTGTCAATATTTTTAAGGAAACGAATGTGCTCTTCAACTGTAAACCAGCATGCATGAATGTGGAGACAAGATTCAACAAGAAATTGAAGGTACAACGGATAAGTACAAATAGCGAGTACACTGAATAGACCTAAAACTAAGCTTCTCCCGAAATAAACAAAGTCTTTTGATTCGTGTAGAATCTGAATAGACTTATGCAAAATGAAAATCAGAATAATCAGGAATGTCATGGCGAATAAACACGAAAAAAGACGACGAATTATAGTTAGATGACGATGAACTCTCGAATTCCCCAGATTGCATCTCGTTTGATTTTCAAATGAGTCAATCAACTCGATATATCGCCATCGCTTTGAGCGTAAAGTCACAATCCAAAGTACTTGCGAATCCAAATTTGCATGACGAAAGAATTGCATAAAACTTTCCATTCCATTGCTTGTCTTGGCTGCCAAAAAATCGAAGTACAACATGTAAATGGATGCACTAATGAGTAGCAAATACATGAAGTAAAGCTTTCTGCCTTCAAGTCGCATCATCCATGCAAGTAGACCGATGGGTTTAGGACTAGAGGAATGTCCAACAAGAGTAGTGATTCGATACATAGTGTTGAACAAAGATTACTGCTTGGATTAAATAATTATAATCTTGTAATTTAATAGATCAGAAAAGGAATAGCTATGACATGATTTACTTAAAAGCGTCCGACGAAAGTGAAGTTCGCATTTGCGTATAATCACAGATCGATGAAAGAAATGCATTACTTCTCAACTTCCAATCAATTATTAATTTAATAAATGAAAACTAGACACTAATCAATCAATTATAAAAGCTGGATTCAAGCTGTTCAATTCAGGTTCAATTTTTATTTTCATTTAAAAATGATCTTTACGTCAGTTTGGTCAGAAGCATTAGTCAGACTAATGTTACATTGCAACTTTCAATGTTAAAAACAGCTTTGAAAGCAAACACGATCAATGAGATAAAAAATAAAATAAAATCTGGTTCTAATCAAGAGAACAAAAATGGAATTCAAGCTCGCACTTCCCAGTCAACTCGAGTCTTGTGGTGCAAGCAAACCAGAGAAAGCGTTGAACCAGCTATTATTTGGAACTAGATATGTGCGGCAGTGGCATACTGTTTGCGTATAGCGCGAATTAGAAACTGTGTACCGGTTGTTGCAAAATTCATGTCTAGAATTTTTCGTGAATAACTTTGCAACCGATAGAGATATTGCAAAAGGTTTTTCCATTATCGCATTTTCTTAGGTTTTCATTTGACTACGTGCTCCTGCTAATTCTCGCGGTCGTTCTGACATGGAAAATGCAAAGATTGTTTCAAAATGAAAAATTTGAGAATATTTATTTTTCTACCAACGTTGCAGCTGCGGCTTCGTTGCAGGTTTGTCTTGACTTTTGTGGAACTTGGCCAGTTTCGTTCAGTGACTTTGATGTGTTCTTTGATTAGATAATATGTTTTAATAAAAAATGTGCAATCTTGTCCGCTAAAATTGGCCCTTTTCAGCATTCAAATTTTTATGCAGAAACTATTGAAAGCTAAATTTGGTGAAGATACCTATCACAGTTAGTGAGAAAAGGTCAATAATATGCTGTAAATAACTTTTGCCTCACCCGTTATTTGATTACATTTTCATGTTGCAAACTACACTTGTTTACAATATTTCATCTACAAGAGAGGAAAGACAGAAAGATGAACTTTGCTGGAAATAGCAGCATTTGTTTCATTGAAAGATTTCTCGAAAGGTATTCGATGAGTTCAAAGTTCTAACTTCGATTCAATTTGTTGAGTTTTAATTTGTTATTTTATTTTTTAGCTTGCTTCATCGACGATGATTTTTCATCAAGAATTTGAGTCTTTAAAAGTGGATTTAATTTATTGTATTCAGTGAAAAAAACTGCAATCATTCGTGATGGGTGCAAACATCAATGACATTAATAACATTGTATTTGCTCAATCGAAGTGACTATACATAAAGAAATTAAATAATTTCTTCAATCAATGATGGTAATGACAATACAAATGTTAGGGTTAATGAGGCAAGTGATGTTACGAAAGTTGGTGTTATTAAAGAAATTTTGAGAAATGAAAAGCCTACATTCGATTGTCCAATGCGATCAAGAAAAAGATGAATCTGTAATGAAAAAATAGAAACGAAAGAAAGGTAGAAATTGCTTGATTCGATAAAATGAATCTAAAATGGAAAAATAGAGAAGAAAGAAAAGTATAAATCGCTCATCTCGATAAAGGACTCACCTCATTGTTGACTTGGAATGTATGCTTTCCATATGAAAGTGAATAAACTTCATCGAAACTTTTGTGCGTAAGATAATGAATGTATATCATGTTCCAGATGACGAATGAAAAGATACTGAATCGCAGTATGTAGCGTGCAAGTCCAATTATACTGAACTCAGTCCAAACCCGGACAAAGAAAATAAAATTTGCTATGATAAAGAAGGCGGAAAAAATCGCTATTGGAAATCTAAGAAACGAATCCATTTTCTCGGTTATTACAGCTGCAATGCTATACATTGAACGCACTTCTCGAATTTTCTCGATGGTCAAAGCCCGACTGTCGTTATTTTTAAGTAATCTCATGTGCTCTTCAACAGTGAGCCAGCACGCATGAATGTGGAGACAAGATTCAACAAGAAATTGAATGTACAACGGATAAACTAGAATAGTTAATACATTGAACAGACCAAAAGTTAAGCTTTTCCCGAAACGCAAATAGTCCTTTGAATCGTAGAGAATCATGAGAGGTTTATAGAAAACTGTAATCAAGATACTCAGCATAAGAAACGCAATGACATAACACGAAACAAGATGACGAATTTTTGTTAGGTGACGACGAACTCTCGTATTGCCCAGATTGCACCTCGTTTGATTTTCAAACAATTCAATCATCTCAATATATCGCCATCGTTGTGAACGTAATGTCACAATCCAAAGTATTTGTGAACCCAAATTTGCGTGACGAAAGATCAGAAAAAGCCTTTCGATTTTATTGCTTGTCTTGGTTGCCAAAAAATCGAAGGATATCAAGTAGATAGATGCAAAGATGAGAAGCAAATTCATAAAGGTGAGCTTCGTGCCTTCAAGGTTCATCATCCATGCAATTACACCGATAGGTTTAGAACTCGAAGAATCTCCAACCAGGTTAGTAATTTGAGGCATAATGTTGAACAAAGGTTAGTTAGTCTAATTAGTTATTAACGATCAGTAATGAAATGAATTTCAGTCAAAGCGCATAAGATCAAAGTGGACATTAACTAATTGAAGTGCGCATCTATTATAATTGCAGATCAATGAAAGAAATACAGATTTCTCAACTCCCAATCATTCATTATTTTAATAAATAAAATTATTTGATTGCAATTGATTTCAAAAGTTTTTTATTTGGACTCATGTCGTTTCATTCTGTTAGGGATATAGTATTAATTATGGTTAGTAAGGGTCAGCTTAGCTAGCTTACTCATCACTTGGCTATCTTAGTCAATGGCTAGCTATCTGACGTCAGAGATAAAATAGAGTATAAAAAGTAGAATCAAAAGCACATTTAATCAGTCTTGTATTAGTCTAAGTTTACACTTGTTATTAACAACTTCTTTTCTCATTTATTTGTCACCCTTCATTATTAACCCCACATTATTAACCCTCAGTATTTATTTCAAAACCTTAATAAAGTTAATTCACATTTACAAGTCCAATCGGTCCTCCCTGAGCGAGTCTTATTTATGGTTAATGTTTTTATGTCACCTTCCTCAACATAAAATGGTGGAGATGCCTCGTCTCTGACTTGGTTCTGTGATAAAAATTAACTTTGTGCCCTTTCTAAGGTCATATTAAGGAATTTGAAACCGAGGCTGCCTCGTATCTATTCCTACCTTCAACGTTCTCTGAACAAGGTTTAGTGAATAGGAGCGCTAATACGCGGCTGCCGCATAAAAAGCCTCCTTAAACCTCTGGTTAGTTGTGCTTTACAATTCTTGAGAAAGTGAAGAAGACAACAGCGGCTGCCGCTTAGTCTTCTGACCGATCTCAAGAATACTGAGATAGTTCTCTGAACTATATTGTGTTAATATAAAAGTGGATATATTTGATGAAGTGGCGTCAACAAGTGAGAAGAAACAAGAATCTGAAACCTGGTTCATAAGTCTCAACAAGCTATTGAACCCTTTAGTAGAAATGAATACCTACGCTAATTTAGACAAGAGTAAGCTAATTGAAATCGCCACACAATTAGGCTTTAAAAATCCTGATGACTTTACTGCTGAAGTATTATTAGCTAAAGTCATTGATGCCCACAAGATTCAACAGATTTATGATGGTCTAGTTCCTAATGTAAAACCTGAATCAACAATTTATGAAGTTAAAAAGCCTTGGGATGTAGCTGTTAAATTAAGAGAAAATGGATTTTCTGAAGATGTAATTGGTGCTTTAGTTACAAGTGGAATCAGAGAAATTGAACATTTAAAGTATATCACTAAACAATCTATGATTGCTAGTAATATAAACGCTATGCAAGCTGATAGATTAGTAGCTTTATATGGGAAAAAGCCTGATCCAGAAGTTCAAATGATTAACTCGTACACGAATGGTGACTCAAGAATCCTAAGTAATAAAGCCTCAGCAAGAATAAGAGTTCAACAAATAAGATGGCCATTTAAAAAAGAGGGAAAACAATTGCCCTTCCACGTGTTCATAGATACTCTAGAGCATGACATGAGAATGGCTGATCCAACTAAAAGAGAATGGGTTGATTTCCTAAGAGGAACTCTGAACGATGAATCAAGAAAGGTAGCTGAAGACATTATTAAAGAGGAACCTGAAATCGAGTACGAAAGCTTCAAAATTAAATTACTAAAAAGAGTTGTAACTAGCAAAGATCGAATTAACGCCTACACAACACTCAAGAGCTTAGTTTTTGATATCAACACTGGTGATATTAATAAACATATAACTTTGGTAAAAGAACAAGTACGAAGAATAGACCCAACGGTAACTAATGAAATGTTCATATTAACTTTGTTGAACACTTTCCCTTGGAATCTATGTACTGAAATTATGGAACATTTAGACTACAATGCTAAAGCTGAAGATCAAATCATCGGAAGAATAGGCATCAAGCAGGTGAATTTAAAGACTAAGAAAACCGAAAGACCTGATTATCAAAAGACTCCAGAAAGAAAGAAATTTTATGAATCAAAATTCAATGAGAGATCAAGGTCAAAGAAGTGGTGTAGTCAATGTAAAAAGACTAATCATAATACAATAGACTGCTATTTTAAAAAGAAAGATAACTCAAATCAAATCCAATCACCAAATAAGCCAACAAATCAAGCATCATCTTCAAATCAAATTGGACTTTTAAACGCTAATTCAGGAAATCTTAAGTTTGACATTGATAAACCTCTCGATTCAAATAATGCTAATCTCAAACAAGTTCAAGAATTAATTCAAAGAACTAACAAATCTTCAATTCAAAAATTAGAAGAAAACAATTCGAAAGGTCAATCAGTTATCTATCCTATCATTGATATAAGAGAAAGGTCAACAAATACAGAACTAAAGACACTGTTGGATACAGGAGCCTGCACTTCATTAATCAGTGAAGAAACTGCTAAAAGATTAAATTTACAAACTTATCCAATTGAAGTCAAGTTTACAGGAGTAAGCGACTCAAGAATAA